TCCTTGTTGTCATAAGTCAAGTTTCTTCATTGGTAACTTTATAGCCCCTGTCATTAGCATTATATTTACCTGTGTTCTGACTTCAACTTGGTGGTCAGCATTACATTCAACTAAGGTTTTTGTAGAAAACAGACTAAGATCTAAGGGATAAAAGAAAATCATTGATACACTCAGTCTGATACATACAGTAGGACCTACTGTACACTAAAATACTGTGTTATCCTATATTCTATAATTGATATTACAAGTTAAATGCATTGACTCTGTTGACATCTTTATCATCATCATCATCATCATCATCATCATCATCATCATCATCATCATCATCATCATCATCATCATCATCATCATCATCATTGTTGTCATCATAATGGCAAAGATATAACACATTTTCTCACCTAATTTCAAAGCAGCAGCTAAACCTCTTATCACTGTGACTGGCTGTGCAGGAGAGAGAACAAAGTTCTGCAATGCTGGAGAGAAAGCATCTCTTTTACTTTCAACCTGTAAAATAGAGTAACTTTAACAAAAACACATCTTTTTATTTTCCCACAAAAACAAAGAAARAACCTCTAKACCAACAAACATACTTACGCAGATACTTGGTGTTGGTGGAGAAAGTTTATCAGTAGGAAGTGGAGGGTAAGGAGGCTTTGGTGGTGACGGCAACTCATTTGCATCAAACAGTAATGACACTTTTGGAACTTGATTACAAGASGGTCCCATGCCTGTTAATGGTGACTTTGATGAACTAGGAGATGCCATAGCAATACCAACTGATGGTGATATCAATGACGGCGATAATAATGACTGCTTGCAATTATTACTAGGTGATAGATTACATGCATTCACTGTCAGTGGCTGTGTTAAATTCGATGAAAATGAGACATTTGTTGAGAACTTTTGTGTCGGAGATGTTACATAGTTTAAAGGAGGAATAGAAGACTCTGATGTACTACTACTACCACAACTTGAATTTCCTTCTGAAGAAATTGGACCATTAGATAAACTAGCAGATGAGAATACCGTCCCTGGAAAAGAACTWATTGCAGGGATGGATGTTGATATAGAAGACACACTTGTTTGAGTTGCAAGAAGACTTGGATTTGATAGACTGACTATAGGTTGTACTGTTAATAAAGACGAAGGTGAAGTTGAGCTAGATGAAGAACCTTCTGTTTTATTTGATGATATTGTAAGACTTGTATTATCAGTAGATTCAAGTCCTCCACCAGGCAAAGACACAGCTAGGGTTGGTCCATTCTGTGATCCTTGTGGAAGTCCAATTATTGATGTATTTACTAAAGAGTTTTGTTGAATACTATCCTGTGGCAAGGAAGTGTGTGATTCCCCATTGCCATTTTGTAATGCGAAGCTATTGAGGTTGTGTGCCGTTGTAACAACTACTTGGTTTTGTAGTAATTGTTGTTGATCCGATCCAGTGTTGACTGTAATAAGTTGTGGTTTGGTATCTGGGTGGCTATTGACAAGTTGTTGTTGTTGTTGTTGTAGTAATGCCTGCTGGTGCTGCTGTTGTTGTAAGTATAAAAGCTGCATGTTTTGAGGTGAGCCTGCAGTAGGTACTGGTGCTCCAGGGACTATTTTAGCCTTTGAAAAACAAATGAATAAAAATACTGATTAGACATTTTATATTACATTTTTTTTAAATAATTGTAATAAAAATATATTAGAACAATACCTGGACATTTCTCATTGTTCTTGTTGTGAGTTCRGCTGGTATGGGAAGTTTCCAAGCCTCTCCAACAGATGGTATATTCCTGTACATAAAAAGATAAAAAGTAAAATTTTTGTATTTTCTAAAACACTAACATTCTCAAAAATAAAATACACAAGGACACCAGTTACTTTTTCATATTTGTGGCAGCTTTCATGACCATATTCTGCTTTGCCTGTAAAGCTTTCACCCGYGCATCTATTGCAGAATCAGTAGCTCCTGTAATGAATAAGCAAAATTGTCAAACTTGGATTTCCCAAATTTTTGTGTGTATTCTTCGTTTTCACTATATACGTCACAGCGACCATCTTGGTTGAACTTTAACAAAGGATTTCTCATTAGTATCTACTGTTCATTCCTCCAACATGGCCGCCGGTCTTTTATCTTTTGAATCGCATGGGAATGGTTGAAAACGATCAATTGAAGATTATGCAACCAAAAGAAAATACATACCATACTTCTTTGCTGCACTATAGCACATCACAGCATCACTACAAAACCAAAAAAATATTTTATTCCACTATTATATAATGCACTAAAATTACATTACATTTTATATAGTGAGCGTCATTCCAAAATGTACAGGACGCTACCTTGGTTGATCACATGCTTCATAAAGTATTCCTAAATCTGTCCATGCTGCCACATGCATYGGGTCTAGTTGAATAGCACATACATAGGCTTGAAGGGCATCCATTGGTTGGTTTTGTTGTTGGTACAACACTCTGGAATAACAAACAACAATTGAATTTTGTCAGACTGCATGTTTTACACAAARATTTTTATAAAGTTAAGAAGCTAATCCAATAACAAAAATTAAAGTGATTCAAAAGTACTCATAAAAAGACAGCATAACAAGTTAAAAATTATTTTTAACTTACCCTATAGAACACCAAGTATCAGCATTAGCTTCAGACTTATCAATAGCATGACGATATGATGTAAAGGCATCATGTACTTTGCCTTGCATTGCATAACACCTGATCCACACACAGAAACATCTTAGATAACTCAAAAACACCAARGCTATCAAAGTATAGTAACCTTACCTTCCAATCAGATACCAAGAKGAACCGTTATTAGGATCAGTCTCAATAGCATTTTTTAAAAGTTGAACAGCTTTCTGCATTCTGCTGGTCCTATCACCTAGATGTTCTTTGTTGTAGTACATCCAACCTACATAAGTACAAAAATAGGAGACTTCTTTTACCTAATGCAATATCTTACATGCTTGGGATCCCRGTGGTAAAAGGACACAGGAATACRAAAGGATATGGTCATACAACAACARAAGAATATCAAAGGATAGTTATMTTGMCTGTAGCGCAACAACCCTGGAATATCAAAATAGATGTGTATTTCAAGTAGTTTTTACCTAGCTGTTTATAAGCATTTGCTTTAACAGGGTTGGGTATTCCTGGAGTGTTAATGATGGTTTCGTACATCTCCTGTGCTTCCTGGCATTTGTTCTGCATCTCAAATAGGTGTCCAAGATGAAAATGTACTGTAAAAACAACATTGTTACAAGTGAGAAAGCAACTTGTATTTTAAGTGTATTTTAACATTAGTAAAATAGTATTTGAGTTTAAAAGGACATTGCAAAACTTATTATTCAAAAATTCAGTCAGAGCTTGACATACTTTCTTCTTTTGATAATGAACATGGGTTGGAATCCATTAGGGCCATATGAAAGTGCTGAAACACAAAAAGAATTATAAAATGTTTTCATTTTTATCCGTCTGGATTACTTTGTTATTTGTTTGAACATTAAATACATGTACAAGTATTTTCCACTTGCTCCAACTTTTTCCATTTCTTTCGCCGTTATTGTCTCATACAGATCTTTGACAAGAATGAAAACAGACTTGCATAATCTAACCCTTATTTGTATCCCCTCAAAAATAGTATACTTTAGTGAAATAACAGGAGCTASTGGATTGTCTCTTTTGAATCAAACCAAGACTGTTGGATATAAGGAGTCTTATCCACTAATCTCTAAATGAGGTGTTTTAATTGTTGCCCCCTTGTATGAGAAACAGCATTCATATGAATTTAAATTTTGATTTCTAGATTTCAGATTTGAAATCTGGCAGTAGTTTATTTTACCTTTATGCTTGCTTCATAGCTACTCTGAGATTTGTATATGATTCCTAATCGTAGATGAATCTCATTGGAACAACTAAAACCTGGATCTAGGTATAAAACTTGTTGAAAGACTTTTACAGCCCTAGATGAAAGATAAAAACAGTATTTGGCATTACATACACAGATAATTAGCTCAACATTTTTATTCCAGTCTTSTAGACCTGTGATGACAGTTACCCTGTCTCTCTTAAGAGGCCTCAACATCTGTTTCATGAGAGGTCCATTGATTGATGATGTACATGTGCAATAAGTAATGCCATACTACACGGCTGACCCAATGACATATCATTATATTATGACAARACAATATAATAGGTTACGATATTGTTTAAATGCATGCAAAGGAAATAACATTTTATATTAGACTGTYTAAGACTATAATAAGAATTAAAATGACACAAGTCAAACATTGAAACAAATCCAAAATATGTGAGGTAATCTACTCTGTCGACAACATTTTGTGGCACATGTAAACATATTGCTTTTCAAACAACGGTTATAAAAAGATGCAATGTATAAATATTAAAGTATAGTGTTACTATAATACTTACCACTGATAAGCAGAAAAACTAAAATAGACTAAACCAATGCCATACAAAAATGGGGCATCCTGTAATGAAATCAAGAGAGGACAATTTTAAAATTAAAATCATTATAAAACACTAAAATCATGATAAACATTAATAATGACATGTAAATAGTGCTGAATGTACTGAATTATGTGCATTCCTTGTCTATCTAAACTATATTTTCCTGTTTAGCACTATTTGATTAGTACAATATGTACTTTTTAGTACATGTACTTTTTCATCATTTAAGTGTTTATACTCTACATGTTTATAAATCCAATCCTTGTTATGGGAAAGTGACTTTGAATATCAGGCAGCACTGCAAATCATGTAAATATATAAAGTATATAGTTCAAAAGTTACACACTTATATTCTGTTCAAAACAAGTGTTTGTTTGTGGAAATTCAGGGTGCTCCCCAGGATGTACCAGACTGACAAATGTCATGTAACTTAATTTGCCTTGTAGAAAAAGTCTGGTCCTTTGTACATGTTTATTATCTCTGTTAGTTTACAAAAGCCTACTGGATTTGAAAAATGGGAATAAACTAATAAGTCATTATTTATAAAATGACAAAGTCACACAACTTTTTTGATTATGCAATGACATAATACCAACAGCAAATCTACTGTTGTATTGTACTAATTTCTATACATACAATTATAACAAATTATAAGTTCAATAGAAAAAAATGTYCTACAGTGTGACATCAGTAATAGTGTTTAAAAATTTAGGGAGAATTAAAGCAGAACTACTATTAATAGCTAATGGGGATTTTCCCTGAGTTAAATTCCCTAACTTATTTCATTTCTAGGTTAAAATAACCTTGATTCAAAGATTTCTTTTGATAAAATGTTGCTCATATATTACATAACATCAAATAATGATRATTTCAAATATAAATCATATCTAACTGGAACTAAATTATTAATCAAGATATGAGTCAAGTTTCTTTGTGTAAGCTCAGCCAAAGTCAAGGTGAAGCTGGAAGTGTTTTGAAAAATCTCTGAATGACAATTTGGTGTTAGAAGGTGGARAGATGACAAGGAAAACACTATATCATCACTGATGCTTTACAGACAAGCACAGGCTAGTCTTTGAGCTTTAATCAAGGACTACAGACATACTTTTAAAGATGATGTTTTACTACCTTACCTTTAAACTAAAAATATAAACAACTTATTGGTAAAGATTTCCATGTCTACATACACACAAATGGGACATTTCTAAGGTTTTGAACAACCAAAAGAGAAATTGCTGGTTTTGTATGAACATCAAAAGTGAAGAAAATGTTTCAGGGATGACAACAAACCCCAAACAGCAACATTTGAAACATCTTTTTCGTAGTGACACATAATTCCAGTCACACAAAACCAAATTATAAGTTAGAAATCARCTCACCTTCCAGTAATCTACATTGGGTAAATTGTAAAACTTCTGATAAGCAGAAAGGGCTGTGTAACAAAAAGAGTAAATACACTTAGAAAACCATTTAGATATTTTGAGTTGATTGAGTTTGATTTTAGTTTSAGACAAACGACTATGACAAAAGTAATAWACGCCTCTTCCAATACGYAAAAAAGCAAAATTTTGTTCAGATTTGTTTTAAAAGACACGAGTTAAGCGGTATCCAGCAAAGAAAGTGTCAAATTTCGATGCTAATGTTGGCGTTACCTTTGGGAAAGTCCTCAGTCAGTAAATGAAGATGGCCGAGCTTGCAAAAAATTGCAGGATGAGCTGCTTTTCCTTTTTCTTGTAGTTCTTTCTCAAAACAAACTACACCCTGTGCGGAAATAAAATTGCAATTTTCAACTACACAAATTAAGCAAGCACAAACAAACGAAACATGTATTTTAAGAGGCAAATTACGAGGCAAATCTGATTATAATGTCGCGGTGTTCAGCCAGCAACTTTGCTTCACACCAAACTTGTATGAAGTTTTCCAAGTTGCGACTTAGTTTGAGTTCAAAACTAGTTCTTACCTTCAGCAACAATGATCTYTGGTTTAGATTTGGCAAGGAGGGATCACCGATAGGGTCGTGCTGTCGCAGAAACCCATACAACCGGCTGGAAAACAAAAAAATTCAAACAGTCTGACCGACATGTCGTCTAGATGATCCCGAAAACCCTAAAAAGCATTTATACTACGACGCCTCACCTATCATAATTCGCCAGTAACTCTTTTTCCCGATCGCTTAAGATCTCCACTTGGGAAACCATTGAGCATATTAACTTCCAAGAATCCAAACTCTAAAACTAACAAATTCTATAGCCAAAACTTTCCTTCAAAGAAGAATTTTCAAGCCAGGAGAAAAACAAAAGACCAACTAGTGACCAATGTTCACCAGCTCCGAACGCTTTTTTTGTGGCTTCTAGCTGACTTCAGCGTACTTCCATACCATTGTAGAAAAGTCTACACTATATTTTCACTCCTAAGGCTCCTTCATAGAGCTAAAATTTTGGATTTTCGATAAAAATTCATTGAAATTCAGAGCAATATGTCCCTRACACCGGAGGGGTATCAACACGCTTCAAGCTCAATACCAAACACATAGCCGAGAAACTTAACCAATCAAAGAGCGTCATTTAGTCACGTGGAAAATTCCAATACTGAGAGCTGGCAGTAAAGGGATATATGCAAATATGATTTTCCAAAATTATTCAAAAATGAAAGTTTCGTGTTTACCATTTGATGCGATCATTTTATATCAGGGCTCTTTTTATTTTCCTCAAAAATYTTACGGATTTTTCTATTACAGTATAGCCATATGGCGCGAAATTGAAAGTACAGATTGGTCAGTTTGTAAACAAAGTCTGGACATTATCTCATACTTGACCCAGACGGTACATTTATTATTGTGACTCCGGGTATTTAAAAAAACAAAATTGCTTTAGTTCAARTTGACGCGACAAATCATAGAATTGTAAAAAAAATCGCTTTTCGTAAGAAAATAATCTCGAACGACACCGGATACTAACATTTTCTTCAGACTCACCTTCAAGCAAAGTCTTTCCTACGTTCCACTATTTTCGATAAAACTGCAATTAACTCCGAGCTCGACTCACTGTTGCGTGGTGATGGTCTTCGGTATAAAAAAACCTAATACAACAGTTTGTTTTTGATTATTTATATCTCTCCAATCACGTTCTGAYTTATGAATTCCAAATTTCACTACACCATATCACGCTATATGTGATTGTGTAGCAGTTTACAAGCTTGTTTCGTTCTATTTGCTTCCGTGACTGGCTGAGATGACACTTCACCGAAACGTGACGTTACGGGGATCACGTTCACTGGCTCGGAAATATGAGTGTTTCAAAAAGATAAATATATCACGGAAACTTGGGTTGGCATACACAAATAGCTTATAATTGACAGAAAAAAAAGAGAATATGCTTTTTGTATTTCCGAAAACCTCCCATCGCGTGAGCATTGAAGAAAAATAATAATTAAGAAAAAGAATACTAATTGCATGATTAATGAGTGGGAATAAATACGATCACGCTGATCAGAAAAAAGGCGATTAGAAGGAAAAAATGGGAAGCACGAAAAGTGACGACGTGAAAGATTAAAAAAGAAAAGGAGCAATGCCAAAGGAAATAATGCCAGGCCAAGATGATCACTAATCTAAATAGATMAAGTAGATCTGGACAAGAAACAAATAAAAAATAATGGAAGGTCATCAWGTAAACGAGCAAATTATTTCCTGGCGCTGCCTTTATACTTTATCACTTCAGGCTGAAACTAACGTGTTTTTTTAGCGGTAATTTAAGCTGATTTAATAAATTTTCAAACTTTATTTCACTTCCTTCAAAACATGTTTCAAAGTAAGTATCCGACGGGAAGRTTAACAGACTAATTTTTGAGGGCATTTTCAGTCGATCGAATKTTTTTCAMGWTTTCAAGATCATACTTCCAAAACTTCAGGGGATTAACGTCAATATCGAAAAAAATAAGAATTTGCATAAAATTGGACTCTCTGTGTGTTGGTGAGTTTTTAAAAAATACTCAAAAGCTTGAAAAAGTTTACAAAAACGTCTATATTTATATTTTACTACATACAGCTGTATCAAACAGAATGATCCAATAAATATATAACATGTTGTATACTGAAGGTTATAGTATATACTCAACCAGTAATATGTTCTTCGCGACTTTTCATTACTAAGTTTCTAAAACGATGAATGCTTTTTCACAATTGCCTTTTTGTCAGAAATATATCATTACCATCATCTGGCGACCCTAAAGGCCAGAGCACACTTAACCACGCGCCGCCACACTTACCAGTCCTCTATGACAACTTTTATAACTTAAGGGTGGGTGTCCTTAACTAAAAAAATATGGTTGGTCATCAGAAACTAAAAATTCATTCCCATAGGAAACTAGACAAATTTAGGTGGGCGTGACAATCAATCCATTTCTATCCGTAACTGATCGATTTTTTTGATTAWATCACTACCTATTTTGAGAAACTGAGCATGTAGCTCGTACTTCCTGAATTTAGTATTTTGTGTAGTGGGGAAATAGCTAAAGGGACTGCCTATTCCTTGCTAGCCTCTACGAACAAGTTTCTAACTTCAAATCCTCATCCCCRAGGCAATACTGTGGAGGGGCGGGCGTGAGCAGAGGTTTCATGAGGACGACCTCCGACTTTGTTTTGMTTTTTCAAGGGAATTTCGGAAATTCTCTGAGACGCTTCCTTTGAATTAAATCCCASTCCTTTACATTCTTTTATCAGACCCTGTATAAACAAGATTGGTCTGTGTTGTAAAACACTTCTAGTTTTGTGCCCAGATCCTTTGTGCTGACAGTGTGAGGAAYATTGCTTGCTTATGGATACCAATTTCTACTTCTGTTGACAGCCTCTTTCCATTCCTTGAACGTTTTTTTGTATTTTTCGGATATGGATGACTTAGGTTGGAAAAGAGCACGTGTACATCGTATGGCTTTTAACTCATCACGAGATTTCCAGACACCTAAAACATTTATCAGTCTAATTAAGGTCAAACAGAAAATATTAGAAAAAAAGGCATGGAAGTAAATGAAAGAAAACAGGGAGAAAATGAGAATGAAAAGGGAAAAAGAAAAACAGAAATAGAAAATAAAATAATAATAGGCAGGTYCAAAAAATGAAAGAATTGGACTAGAATGCAGCAATTAAACAATGAAAAGAAATTTTAAATGGAATATGTAAAGAATTGAGATGGAAAAAGGAATGGGAAAGTATGAAGAATGAAAAGAATGATAGGAAATGTTGAGGGGAATGAAGGACTATTAGGCAAGTATGGCACAGAACTGATTTCATGATAAACTTACCTGAAGCCATCCCTGCTAGGAAACCAGCTCCAAGTGCTGACATGTCAGTTTGTGAAGGTTTGTCCATGCTTTGACGTGTTAGACTGCTTGTTAGTTCCATGACAAAATCATTATTACATACACCACCATCAGCTCTGCAACAGAAGAATATATTCATTTGAAAAATGAGCATACATTACATTACTGCTACCATGGCCCAAGTTCACACAGCTCCACCACTCTTCCATTCCAAAAATGTCTTTGTGTTGAAAAACAAAACCATAGTTAATAGAGGGGACTATCTCCCTCTATTAACTATGACAAAACCAACTTATCCTGAGATTGAATACCTAAAGAAGGTTTTTTTTTGGGGGGGGGAGGGGGGGTTGGGGAGGGTAATAACCACTTCATGAACTATACAACAACTGCAATAGAGAAAGACTTACTTGATTGATGAAATAACAGGAACTTGAGTTTCCTCCAAAACTATGTCATAAAGTTCTGCAAATCTTTAAGAAATTTGATTTACTGTTATTCTCAGGATGACATATCACTCATATAGTCAATACATTGCATGGAGTTATAACTATAAAATGTATTCATTATCCAATAATGATTATTATAAAAAGGAATCAACATCACATTATAGCAGTAGCACTGCAATCATTGAATGGTCGTGGCATCATAAACAATCCAACATCACTGCTACCAGCACTATAGATTTACCAGCATCTAGTCATTGCTCTCATACAATAATGTACCAGTGTGTATTTTATTATTATAAAACTCATTAATATTCATAAGGCAAAACACAATAGAAATCATAGCCCATGAAGAGAGTTGTATATTACATACAGATTTCTTGTTCATTTGCATAAACTTTTACTCTGATTTTCTCAGTCAGATTGAATTTTTTTTCAAAAGTTTCTTTAAAACCTGAGCTAATTTACCTTAACGTTTCATAAGTAATATACAATATTCGCGTGCGATCTGTATGAGGATTTAAAACAGCTCGCTTTCAGCTCGCTGTTTTAAATCCTCATACAGATCGCCCGCTCATATTGTATATATTACATATTATTTTTCATATTTAAGTCAAAATATTACTAACCATAGAAACTACTATTTTTTACATTGATATATTTCTTCAGTGAGTAAAAAGAAAGATCCTAAGAACATATTATCAGAGTATAGTTACCTAAATGCTATGGATTCAAGTATTGCTCTCACAATATGAGCCTTTTTGGTTGTTGACTTGATTCCCATTAGAGATACACAGGCTTTGTCGTCATTTACAGGTGCCTTGGGAGGAATTAAAAAACAAGCAGMCTCTCTAAACAATATGTGGACACTACAGTATTTTTCAATCATGCATGTTTATGGTTCTAGTAGATGAACCTAGAACATGAGAAAGCTCCAGACATTTTTAAGAATATCCAACTCAAAAATGCAATTAATTAAAACAGTTTCATGACATCCATATAATTAATAACTCCCCTTGCTTATTTAAGCATAATGATTATTAAAATATTAATTGCTGTTATCATAAGCACTAGTTGCACTTAATGTATAAATTTAACAAGATAAACAAGATAAACAAGATAATGTCATTTATATTCTCCGGACCCTCTTAACAGGAACACAGTCAATTCCTTCTGACCCACAATGACCACTGTCTTATTGTGTTAATATAAATACCTGCAGGCCATTAAAAGATGGTACAAAATATACTCCATCAGAATCTTGGGGGAAAAACACAAGAAAAATTTATCAATGAAATTCCAACTTTGTACATCAACTTTGACATGATCATTYATACTTACTTTCCACAGAAAATGCCATCTCACTTGTTTCCCTTACATCATTAAAAAATCCTGTCAGAAAAAATAAATACATTTAATTACTAAAACAATAGGTTAAAACCTATTACATTGTGTTATTAGTTATTATTAGTTGTTATTATTTAACCAAAGAAAATATTTTATTAGCATATCAAATATCGTGTTACCCATTTGATGTGCCCATTCAATTGCTGTTGCTGTTCCAGATGATTGTCCTTCTGAAATATAGACTACTTCTGGACCTATTTTCCATCCCACAAGTGGATAAAGACCTAGACCGAAGAACAAAAAAATCCTTTTAGCTATAGACAAGCTTTCTAATTTATAAATYCTTGCATTTGGAATAACTTATAGATTCTTCATCATGATTGAAGTCATGTCTATGGCTTGCAGTGTAGCTTACAGTGTATCATTTTATGCACCCTAAAAACTATGTCTTCACCTGCCACAGAAGCATGAGGAAATTTCCCAGTGTTTACATCAATAAATGTTCCTGTACCAAATGTACATTTAACATCACCCACATCAAAGCAACATTGACCAAACATTGCTCCCTGTTGATCAGCTACCTGGATTATAAGATAAAGTTTTATGCTTATCAGTGCTGAGATAATGATTGTATAAACTAGTTTACCACTAGTTCCCACCACTGAGATAATGATGACATGGAAACAACTGAAGATCTTGTTAGATGAGACAATGTTAGTTGGAGATAATATAGCTGTTACAGTGTAGTAATGGATGCAGTGTTATAGATGATATCATTATGGTGATGACAGTGACAGCAATTACTGTAATCATGATGAGAATATGAAGATGATGATGATGATGATGATGATGATGATGATGATGATGATGATGATGATGATGATGTGAAAACCTCCCTCTTTGGAGACTCCTCTTTTTTCCTCCTTGAGCTTTCTTTGTAAGAAATGTTGATATAGATAGGACTCTGAATGGGACCTCTCCCCCTTCCCTTCCGATTCTCCCTTACCCACACTCTCCCCCACTCTCTACGAAACCCAGCAGTCATCATGAAAGCAATAGTCTGCCATGATAAAWGTGATTCAAATGATCAACTCACTATTGCCCTGATAGGAATTGGTGCTCCAAAGATATCTTTAGCTGTATCACATATATTGCCACTGAAAAAAAAATAAAAACAAAAAACATAATAAACAACAGAGAAGCAGTATAACATTTTTTATCGTCTTATTTCTCATGAGTCATCTAATAAAAATTAAAGATGACATTACAAATTAAAATGCTTTCAACATGAAGACACTAGAGCCTTTGCAGAGAAAACATCATACTCACCAAGTATCAACAACTTTTGGTAGTACTGKCATGGGTATATTTAGTAGTGATGTCAAAAGTGAGCTCCACTCCAACTAGAAAGATAGCAGACATTTTAAATATCTCTTATATTGATTTTTTTTAGCAAGAATATGAAATTACCTCAGGCTTGTGATATGCAGTATTTAACCATAACTTACCACAAAAGGGTCAAACATTCCTGTTGAGCTGGCATTAGAATAATCAGTTATGTGTTGTTTATGTCTTGTTAATTTCCATAGCAACCAACTATCAACTGTTCCAAATAAAAGGGATCCATTTTCYGCCTTTTTCTGAAGCTGTAAACAGGAACTTGTCAAAAAAATGTCTTACTAATCCCTAGGATTAACTTTATATTCATATAGAAAGGCTACATAGAACTGTAGACTATGATATACGGCTCATGATTTACTGATCTTTTCTCGTGTTCTCCCAACCATCCCTCACYGTTTATTTCGCCAGMAAACRGCTTCAAGCTATCGRTTATTGCTTTTATATTATAGCCAGCGTCTGCCATTTAGACTCAAAAGTCTTCCAAAACAGCAGGCTGGTTTACCGTTGAAATAAACCATAGCTTTTCTCATGAAATCCYGCAATCAGCGCAGGTATTAGAATTGAGCTATAATATAYATAATAATAAACTTACATCATGCTTTTTCAGCATATAACTAAGCCTCATTGATGCCTTGGAAAGAAAAAAATATGAATCACAAAGCAAGCAATTTAKCAATTAATATGTCCAGGTAATATAAATATACAAACCTGCCCAGTGGTAAAATTTATGACACTTCCTGCAAGAAACTTTTTACGCCGAGATAKCATATGCAAAAACTTGGAACTTGTTTGAAGAGTCTGTGATCAAACAATAWTCAAATATATTATATTAAGGAATGTATGTCCAATAAATTGCTGGACAAAAAAAAAATAAATAAAAAAATGAATACACCAGTTTCAAATTCTCTTGTGCAATAAATGTTTATTGTCTTCTTTGTACACAGAGTGTTTGCATTACAATAGGTTCTCTAGTGCTGAATAAAAGAATATATTACATGCACAAATAAGATTTCAAAACTGGAGTYTTGCAATGAAATAGTACTAATTATAAGTTTTTGTTGTTTTTTAGGAAAACTAGTTTTATTTATTTYTAAATTTGTTTATWTGCTTGAGCTTTTACCTTCAGTGCTAATGATCTGTTCCATGTCTCTGTGTGATCTCTTGAGCGGAGATCTTGCCAACAGATAAAATTATGCTGTGGCTTCCCAGTTTTTCTGCATTTGAAATCAATTTTATAAAATACATAATGTAACCTATGAACTGTGTCCATATCCATGCAGTTGCCATTCCATCATAACTTACTCAAATGGTTTTCACAAATAATGCAATGATCCATACCTATCCCAAGTTACAAAAGTCCCTCTCTGTGTTGATATTCCAATACATGTAACTTCTTCAGGAGTAATTTGCTCAGCTTAAAAATAATTATTATTMTAGCAAATGGATAATCCATATTAATATACATTATCAACAAGTAGGTAGCATCAAGCATGACTAATTAAAACAATTTGAAATAAAATTTGTGTTAAATCAATGTTGCATTCTTAATCTGATATTACAAAATGTTACACAATAGCTAAATTAGTAGTTTCATAGATAAATGCACTTTATTATTCTAGGTAATGGCCACAAGGGAATTTAGGGAGGGGAGGGGAGGGGGGACTAAGCAAGGAATGGGGAGCCAAAAAACTTTGAAGGGATAGACTACTCTCTTTGACATTTTGAAGCCATATATAAGCTACCTGCCATTGTCTCCCAGATGATGTCTTGAAACTGTTCCCATAACTGATAAGGTTCTATTTCTACCCATGAAGGCTGAGGATGTAGCACTTCAATCTATTACATGTACAAGAACAACAATAAATCCTGAGTCTGAGTGAGATTTTATAAGGAAATTAGGAAGCTCTACAATACAGACATTCTTTGTGAACATGGTTGCCTTTTTTAACCTAACCATAGATAAGAACTTTAATAAGAGCAAGATTAAAAGAATTCATAATTATGTCAAGAAAACCTCCAAAATTTCAAGCTTACAGTTATACTTTGCAGATGGAGTTATTTTCACAAGGATCATCGAAAAAAAKCCGTTAATCCTTGATGATATTAGGCTTATAACTTAAACTATATTTGATTTTTGACGCGTGGATAAATTTGAGGAACATTTAGAAAACAAACAACTACTTCCAACAAACATAACAACTGAGACAAGGATTCAAGAAGGTACTAAATGAATATTTTCAGTACTATAAACAATGAAGAGATTCCAAAATGTATCAAAGTATTATACGGCTTTTTTTTCCTAAATGGTTTGTTTGTCAAAACAACATGACAACCACACCAACCTTTCTCGAAGTGRTGTACTTTGAAAGACCAGATTTATCAAAAAGATGGCACGATATCAAGGTACTGCCAACATCTACAGCAATAATATTGGTTGATTTGTCCTTTCCGTGTCCGTTAGACACCGCCATTTCGAAGAAYAAGAAAATTACCACCTACGAAACTTTTTTATGCCGTTTTAGAAACATACTTGCACTTTGAAGCTGACTGACTTTTGACAACATTAAACCCCACCAGGGGTAGAGTAGAAATGTTCTCTTTAGTACTTTTCTTGTACAGTTAAATTCATGCATAACGGAAATTTGAAGAATTCTGGAAGAATTAAAATTTATTAAAAATGCTAACTATCTTATCATATGACTTTCGATTAAAAAAAGGAAAGAATTAGTAGATATTTTTTATTRGTCTATCCCTCCCCTCCCTTATATTAACAAAAGACCGCGTAAGATGATTGGYGCATGGTGACTAGTACATTGGCGCGCCATTTTGAATGACATTGAAAACTTTGCTCYTGGATGCTTATGTATTTTTCCKAGATGAATTGGAAAAGTACGAATGCGTCCATCTAACAGCTATCAAAAGTCATTTGACAGGAATTTTACCAGTCCARTTTTGAGAAAGTTATCAAAARATTTGATKGACTTTAATAAAGTTTCCGAGTTCATAATGTTCGCAAAGCCAGCAGAAGGCTGTGGCAAGTGGCTCACAACGAAGACTACAAGGAGGATTGCTCAGTCTTTTAAAAACAGTGGYTCCAAGAAAGTCAAAAAGAAGTCCAGTTTATTTAAGAACACTTCTAATCACATTCGTGGTGCAGTCATATCCAGCTCTCCGATGTCTCAAAGCGAGATTGAAATGCTGTCCCGCGTAAAACAGTCTAAAATGGACCAGTTTTTCAAACCTGCAACATCCAATAATAACAAAAAGAGAGACGGAAATCCTATTGACCAGTCGGAGTTAATATTGATAAATGAAGATAAATCTAGTGCAAGGAAAATCACCTCAAGAAGCCATCAAACATTGTCATCATTACAAGAATCGCCAATAGAGGAAGGTAAATAAAATATCACCTCGCCAATCTCTTTAGTAAGAGTCCTTTAGTAATATTACAACTCCAAGCAAAGGCAGTTTTTGMTCACAAAAATACTTTTGCTTGGTTACGTAATAGTGTCATGGCATKTAGGGGCATGGTTGAGGTATTCCCTGCTAAGATTTCCAACGTAAATATAGATGTTCCAATACATATGATTGTAGTCTTATAACCATAATATGCATGAAGCTGGGATAACTATTTTCTGATTTATATTTTAATTATAATTTCAGATAATGAAGAATTTCCTCCATGGGATAATTACTCTTATCCCTACATTCAACAGATTGAAGATAATACTAGCTTTCATGGTAGCAATAAACAAATAGACTCAACAGATGAAGATGCAATGCTCCCTTTTGAATTCCCTTCACAACATCTTCCTGAAGATCYGAGATCAAACTGTAATAACACAATTGATGAACCTAATAWWGATGAACCAGTGACAAGCCCAGTATCAAAGCGGCTAAAAAGCCAWCATAAAGATCAATTTGATGATAATTTCACTGATTATAATTCTGATAGTTTTGATTATTCTCAGTGGGCTAAAGAGCAAACAAATAAATCCAAATCTCTCCAGAAATCCATCTTGATTGACAATAAGACATACTCCAAGAATAGATCTACTACTAGTAAAAAAGAGCAAAGCGATGAGACAATTAATGAAAGCCTCAGTGACGTWCTTGAGTCGGACTCAGACTTCCATTTCACAGAGTGGAAAAACAAACAAAAAGAAAAGTGTAAAGAGTTACTGCATGAAAGAGTCTCGGTGGATGCAGAGGACTCTTGTGTCAAGGACAACAACGAGAAGCTGCCTAATGACTTAGACAATGAAGAAAATACTTTAACTGATTCCAATTTTAGATTCACTGAGTGGGTTAATGATCAGAAGTCCAAGTGTGGTGATATTTCCAAGTCCTTTCATAATTTGAAAAGTAGAAACTGGAAAGCAATACCGGATGAATCACTAAGTGAATCTGAGATCCTTTCTATTCCAGAAACTGAACTTTTTGAATTAAATGAAAATCAGAGAAATGAAGTTTTGGTTGAAAAACCAATGGCTGGGARTTCAAAAAGAAAACTCAATTCACAAGGAAAAGTCTTCAACATGAGAGCTTCTTTACAGACCGCTTTTAAAGATGTGTCAAACATTTGTTCAAAYGATAGGAATCCCTTGAAGTATGACTTCATTGATAAGGCAATTAAAYCCYAGGACAAGGTCAGCTTGAACACCATCTCGTCTCAAGATTCRGATCCATTCCAATACACAGAGTGGATACAGGAGCAAAAAAACATTTCAAAAGAAATTCAAAACAGGCCAGAAAATTTCAAATTGGAGAATGATGATYTGTTTTGGAGTAGGCCTYTTGACAAGAAAAAGAAAATGGATGAGAAGAAAACAATCCCATTAGAAAGCACATCAACCATACTTGCTTCAGACACTGATCAGGACWGCGACACTGATGGCTCTTTCTTCTCTCAATGAAATTTTGTTTAATGAAACTATTTACAATATTAATTACAATCATATGTACAGAATATAAAGACTTACTCTTCCAGAGGAATCAGTTTMGACGATCATTTTCTTGAAAAGTACATTGTACAAGACAAAGTACAGAATACAACTTGTAGAGTTCAATTATCATTATGAAACAACACTGAAATGCTGAAAAATCTACAAAAATTATTTTATTATAWGAGAAACAAACAAAAAACTACAAATTTCCAGAATCATCTCAGTAATACAAATATTTTTTTAAATAAATAATTTTTAACTCATGAAGACTTCATTTCTTTGTTTCTTCAATAGTGGAAGCTTGCTTAGTATGTTATTTTTAAGGGTTACAATCCCTTAGTAGAGAATASTAAATTACTCAACTAACGAAGTGCACCCTTAAAAAATACATAAACTGTATCAACAACATGGTTCTTCTGTACTGTTCTTATTTCTTTCCCTTGGTTTTTTGATGAATTAACTCTCTAAAGTCTGATAAGATCTTGTTTTCTCGTTTGGATCTTTCCTCGTAGTTGAACATTGCTAGAGCACGCCTGATAAAAACAAAGATAAGATTACACAATGAAAGAATAATGTACTGCGATGAATTATTATAAGTCTAATGTCCTTGCAATTGTCCACATCACCCAAAATGCAGTTTGCATTGTTATTTCACCTTAGGAGACTATACCATAACCATTGCTTTACAAAAATGCATTTTGGGGTGATTGTGATGAGTATATGGGTACCAGGCCTAAGATAGCATCTGTTGCTAACCAAAAAACATGGTTATGTTTCAGGAAACTCACTTTTCATCAGCACTGTATATCTGGTTCTCTTTTCTCAGACGGACAGCCTCCATTCGACGATGTCTATGAATCAACAGCATYAAATAATTAATTTAGACAATCAGAATTCTAGATTAATATTCTCATTTGGGACCAGGTCTTAACTGAATATCTTTCTATTCAAAAGATTAGTATGTCAATCACTCTGTCAATTTTAAACAAAAAGTTTCAGCAGGAGGCACAAGGTTTTAAAAAAATAAAATCTGCAGAAAATGTTCAATTTGATATCAGAACAAAACCAATTTGTTCAACATTTAGTAATTTTATTTAGAGAAAAATAGCATTAGCATTATTRAGAACTATTTTGTGCCATTTATGTTTTGTACTTATAGTGTTTGTACACTATCACTCAATATTGTTTACAAACCTGCTMCCACTCATTACAAATCCAGAATCTTCAAATGAAGCAATCTCATCACTTGTCAATCCAATTTCACCACGCCTTGGGATACGTTTTCCCATTTTGACYTACTCTGCCATGGCTTCTCCTTCTCCTGGGAGCAAGGCTCCACCAAAGCTAAAAAAGGATAAATCATTTATTTATACAAAAAWCATAACATATWTTGAATATGYAAAAAYAACTWAGAGTCATATTACGTCAACCATTTYTTTTAGTAAACTTACTAGTATAATATACAAAATAAARTTTGYCACTTTCTACAATTCAATGAAATACATTACAATGATGGCTTACTCTCTCAATTCAGGTGCAGCACCCTCTTGTGTAATAGGTTGAGGACCAACAACATCATTGTCTTCACCTTTACTTTTCTTTACTGTGAATAAATCAGTTAAGAATTGATATAATGTGTGTAAACTTTGAAAGTAATTCTCACAATTCAAATCAATCCAAAAATTAATCTGTACTCATAATTTCTTAGTTTGTTTGAAAATAGTAATCATTTTATATAATTATAATAGGCTAAACACTTTCTGCTTACAAGGTAAAACAGMTTTTTTCTCATCGTTATCTTGTACAGCTTCTTCCCATTCCACCTCTGAATCTTCTGAAAAGCATCAAAACATGAAACATAAATAAAATATACAAATGAATCTTTTAAGAAATTTTCTCAAAATATGTACAAAAATATAATATTTTCTCAAAATATGTACAAAAATAGTGGATATGATGGAGTAGTATGATATTCTCTATACCTGATGATTCTTCTTCACTTTCACTTATCCTTTTCTTCTTCTTTTTTGAGTTTTTCTTGCTAAAAAAGAAGCAAAATTAGAATACACTTGAAAGATAATTTCATAACCTCAAATATGACAATAAGTTGCATGTCCTTAATCTCTGTCTACTGAAAAGATGGAATCAAATTGATCAAAATGCAATACCATGTATTCCCTGTTTGTTCATCTAAAATAAACTTTTATACATAATTTACTAGTTAGCAAGCTTTAAACATTGTCACAAAGTCCTCTGTTATCCTTTATAAGAATGCTTACAACTTTGGTTCATCAACAAACCTTTTCTTTCTTTGAGATTTGTGTTTTCTTTTCTTCTTTTTACTGGATTTTTTATGTTTCTTCTTTGGAGCATCACTGTCGCTATCATCACTGTCAGTATCCACTTTACCTTTAGAAATAAAAGMTTAATAGTTTCCTTGAAACATCCAATTGAAACCCAGAAGTGTGTATATATGTAGGAGGTACTAAAAAGCTTACTTTTTCTTCCATTTGCTAAAGTAGGGTGAGTTCTTTTTGCTTCATCATCAGAACTAATGGAAAAGAAACAAACTACAATCTAAATGAATTCAAAAAATATTCTGAAAAAAAGCAGTAATGAATGAAAGTAGAAGAGGGAAATATGATCTTACTCTGAAGGTGGTTCTCTTGGTGCTATTCCCCACACTTCAGGAACACCTTCKGTCATTATTTGTTCTCTCATAGCCCTGCGTCTAAACAACATAATAGTTTTTCAATCAATCTAACAATATGAGCAATTTATTCTTCATTACACAATAATGAAAGACCAAACATACAACACACAAAGTGAACCTTCTGAGATCAGATCTATAATTGTTTAATACCTTTCTGCTGCTAATTCTTGGGAAGACTTTCTATTTTTTCGTGACCTGGAAATGAAATATAGAAAATTCAAATAAATGTCAGAAACAAAACTAATGTTAAAAAAACAATATTTTTAAAATACATTTAATAACTCAAGACGAATTTAATCAAGAATATATTTTTGCCTTACATGCAGATYAGCTAAACTACAGAAAAATGAAACCACTCTATTTGGCATTTGACTTATTCTCTAAATCTGATAGTAAAAAACGTAAACTGTACGTACCCATGTCGTTCTGGACTATAGCTTCGACTTCTCGACCTTGTTCTCGACCTTCTAGGCGATTTTGAACGAGATCTTCGATATCTGTGGTGGTGAGGAGGACTCCTACTTCTACTTCGACGATGTCGAAAGTCTTCTTTTGTCATCTTAGCCTAAGAACTATGTGTTTTTTGAKAYACTTCATAAAGTTTCAATAATGTTGCATTCAAATGTTAGATAAGATGAGAGCGGCTTGGTAACTACTACCCACAGTTCATAGCATTTAGTGCCATGTCCCCGCGAGAATTTAAGGAACGCCTGGCAAAAACTGTATTTCAGGTGAAAAGTAAAGTAGTACGAGACTTACATTTGTAAAATCACTATATCGAKAGAATATCAAATTCTTGTACAAGTGATTGATGTTACAAAATGCTAGATTAACTAAGAATTGGATAACATGCGATGGAGGGCTGCAATCAAAACTGTAGTTGCCACTCCAATCCATTTGGTCAAACCATGTCTGAAATGGATTTTGAACGTGGTATCTGGACATCAGCAATGAATGGTGACCTAGGACGCATTGAGTCGTACTTAGAGAAAGGAGGTGATCCTAATGCCACTGATACATCTGGATACACAGCTTTGGTCAGTAGTAGAGCTAATACAGATGCATGTTTTGAAATTCAAATACTATATGTAGGGGTCTATGTATTTTTGTAACATTTTTTTGAGAAATAATTATGACTTACTTGAATAAGACATTAAATTAGTTGTTGTTTGGCTGAATTTCCCTATAATTGACAGCATTATGCCAGTCGTAATGGAAAATTCAAAGTGTGTCAAGTTTTACTAAGCCAGGGAGCCTGTCCAAATGTGCAGACAAGGTCTGGTAGWGTAACACCTTTGCACAGGGCAGCATACAGTGGTCATCTAGGCATAGTTACATTGCTCCTTCAATACCAAGCTAACCCTATACTATGTGARACTGATGGACAAACACCACTGCATAAGGTATAAAAGGGCTCCACATCCACAGRTATCATTATTATTTTGGACAAGTTGTAAGTATACGTGTTATGTTTAACAATTAAAACACAAGGTCATGAAGTGGACTACCAGTTGATAGTCCATAGGGCCATACTTGACTAAAAGGACCTTCAAATCATTGTTCTTGTTTGCTAAATATTTTGAAGAAACATTAATKTTTTTTTCAATTCTTTTGAGGCTTCGGAAAGAGGACATAAGGATATAATCCAGCTTTTAGTSGACAAATCTCCAGAATTAACTCACATTCAAGACAAACGAGGAAGAACACCATTAGATGTCATTCCCCCAAATGCACCAGACCTAAAAAGTCTTCTCCAGTAATTGTTGTCAATTGCTTTATTTAAAAGCAATATAATTGTCAGGAGTGTTTATATTTCCATTATTACATTTTTAACTATAGCAAAACATACAAAAACTTTATGGCTTATTTTATAACATTTTCATTTCAATGGAAACATAAGCACTGCCTACACTAGTTTACAACTGCTAGTTGATTTATGCTTTACTTGAAATACTAAAAACATCATTTTTCATTACCACTAATAGACTTTGAGAATGTTTAGAATACATGTAGATCAATATTATTTTCAAGAAGCTGCAATCAAAATAGAAGTCAAATTTTAAAAGCTGTAGTTTTGCAGGTACAGAATCTATATTATATTTGCAAAAATGACTTGTTTTGAACAGAAAGAAAAGTAATACAATGGGATTTCAAMCTCTGTGATATAAATCATGAATTTCCCATTAAATAAATTCAAAAGTACTTTTATCTTATGCTCAGTATTGGCATGTTAGTAAATGTTTGTATTAAGCACACATACCTTCATATACAAAGTGTGAAATATGGAACTAATTTTACTTTATTCCAAAATCCAATTCATTCTTTGGTCAACCAATGATATACAACAAGCTAATACTGAGRGATTAAATAAAACTAAAGAATGATTATACGTTATTTTCCTAGGAATAACACGTTGTACATGTAGATAGCAATGCGGCAATGAAGAAAAATGAATATTTTGCCTTGCTGTCACATAGCATAATGTCCATTGTACAATGTCAAGCTTTGTCTTTATCATGTCTTGCAGTATAGACCATGTATGCAATTTTTACTGATGTAATGAATAATCCAACAATGATGATCACCAGTTACTACTTTGAGGYAGATCTGAATACAGTTTTTTTCCTCTGTGGTTGAATGTATAGAAAGATGGTCTATTTCCTAATGATTCCCATGATCTGAAAATAACCAAAAAGGGTCAATCACAATTGAATTAAAAATGGGATTAAACTATTAAATTTTAGCAATAACAATAAGATTAGATAATATTAAAAAAAGCAAAGGTTTTTAACTCAGGTTTCAAGAACTGGGACCATAAATCTTATCTCCTAGTCATGACACATAATAAATAACATATTGGAATTGCCGCACACTTTTGGCAGACTCGTACCCAGTCGTTTCTATGGCGCGCAAAGGATCAAGGGACTTCCCTTGATGCACTGCGACCTGTACAARGAGTAAGAGAAACTACTGGGTACGAGTCTGCACTTTTGGAGATTCAGTATTRTGAAATGTTTTTGAAACAGTGTTAATGCAAAACAAAGTTGAATCATTACTTACTTGCTTGCCATCTCTGCTGCTGCTCTGATTTCTTTGAACTCTCCYGCAACCAATACAACTCCAACACATCCAAATAGCATGCCCAGTAAACACTGTATAAATATCTGGAAGAAATTGAAAACATAAACATGTGATACTATTAMAGTCTAATTGACAGAGGAGGTTTCTCAAAAAACTGGATTAGAAACAAAATGTGATGACTGTTGGTTCTTTAAAATGATGTTACACCCCCTACAACATGCTGTCTTCTTTGCAAAACTACCTTTTATAATTTTTAACCCATATTCTATTAAACTTGATGATTCCCATTGGCCTTTTGAGATGATATTGACTCCTGTACTCAATGAATTGATCTGAGCCAAATATATTTGACTAAGAGTGTAATATATATTTGACTTAGGAGTGTCGAAGGATCAGAGTGATCACTAGATCACCATGGTAATAATACTTTATGACTCTCTTGAAGAAAATTTGTCWTTGCCAGATGTGAATGCTTAACACAATAGCTACAAAGATGTACAAATATACTGTCTAATGCATCTATTTAAAGACAATTKTCCTCTTGCCAAGCCAAGGTCTGGTTTATAAATCATAACAAAAGTATAAAACTCTTAGAAAAACTATGTTTACTTACATCAACCGGCAGTGAAGTAAATTCCTCTTCTAATAGTTTGTAATAAGTACGACCTGTGAAAAGAAATGCAAAAGGCTAAGACACAACTTTGAAAGTAAATGGAAATTTAGAAAACACGTTGTACTTGTTGCAGAAACTTACATTGAACTGCTGAATACCCAGCATGCAGAATAGCTACTAATCCAATAAACACTAAAATACGTCCTAAAATAATCATTTTCTTAAATTCTAAGGTTTAAACTCAATTAATATCCGATTACAGATAAAATTCGCGTGTTTTTCATAGACTTTCACTGACYCCGGTGCTTCTACTCGCCATTTTGAATTAGAATGGAGCCCACGTTACATGACTGTCAGCTGATACTTTTTCGTAGTCCCAGCTTCTCACGTCCATTGAAGATCGCGCACGCATATTCGCGGGCACAAGGCACAAAGTCCTTTTCCTTTAGACCTTGTTCCGGAATTAGAAGTCACCCGACGAATTCAAAGGCATGTCATGTCATGGCATGTTGTTTTGCTTTCTAAAAAGACGCTAAAATTGCACGAAGTCCGTGTAAATTTCTGTGCATTGAACTCATCGAACATTCAATCATGATCGGATCGATATCTTTTCGATTACATCATTTGCACGATCTGATTGGTCGATAGATTGAGTCAAACTCTCGGTTATTTAAATTACTAAACTTCGGAACGATTTCGGATTCAAGAACGAGGTCCAAAAGACTTTGTACCCAGGGACGTACCCAGGGGGTACAGAGAGAGGAACCAGGAGATCCTGGATCTTGTGGACGAAGATGGCGCCTCCAACAAGAAYACGTGTTGCTGAAAGACAAGCTGAAGACACTGATGAAAATGAATGGTTACAGCAAACATTTGAGGGAGATTTRTTTAAGTATTCGTCCTGGTCCTGGTATGCTTTAGTAATTTCTGGGATWACTTTGTTTTGGGTAAGTTTATATTTGATGTCTCTCGTCTCTCACATTTAATAATAAGCTTATCAATTGTCAACGGCAAATCATGCAGTAGACATGTCTAATGAAATATATAAATCGATTGTCATTCTGGCTACACAGGTATCCCCAAAAGACTATATGAAAATAGACTTCTTTAGAGTTTTATTTGTCTTTGCATTTCTGTGGAAGGACAGGAATCCCAAAACAAGGACGATCTATGGCACAGCTCTACATGCAACCTTATTGTAACATCCATCATTTTCAGAATACCTTGTGAAGAATTGTTTTTCAGTTTCTTTGATTGTGTTGATATTTCAGATGATTGTGTTTCATCCTGATCTCATCCCATACCATCTCCTTGGACCTATTGGAAATTTACTAGCATATCTTAAAGACAATCATGCAAAAACACTCATGATGGGGTAGGCTTTAATACTGAAATACTCACAGATAACCATAGTACTATAAACGTGTTACAGCAAGTCTTTTAACCTTCAAATTTGGATGACTTTTATTGAACAAACTGCATTAAGAAGTGACTGTATTATTGGTTTTAGATTGTGCTTATTTAGTTTGGTCAGAGTTTTTGTGTTAATGTTTATGCAAATTATTTTAAAGGTTTAGAATATTGGTATTGATACATTGTATCGAAGCCTTTGCWGCTTATAGACTTTGCAGGTAATAAAAAGAAGTATTGATATATAATATTATTCAATAGCAAACACTAATAAACATGAAATTTCAGTGAGATAAATGGACACAGACTATATTGGACTAACAATTCATTAATATTATTAGAATTAGTCTTATAAATGTGTTTTTATTATTATTAAATATGAATTATGACTGCATTACTGTTTTATAATTGAAAAAGTGATGCAGCTGGGTTAACTGTAGTTATCTATTCTTGCATCACAGYCAGATGAGATTCACAATGAAAACAACATTGATGTGGACCATACAYTCATTATTGCTTGGTTTTCCATCTTATGGTATCATTTTAAAATACAGTACAGAGAGACAGAAATATCAAGAAGAAAAGGAAAAACAGTCTTAAAATAAAAACAATTGAATTTTTTATCATTCATATAATTACAGCAATCGAATMCATGCAATGGTACATATCATAACCTGATTTAGGTTTTGAGGTTTGTTTCTCTGTTTTTATGTCACTGGAAAACCAAAAGTGATGCCGTTCATTGAAATTCAGTAACTGATAAACTCTTTTTTTCATGCAATGATTGTTGTTAGATGTATAAATTGATGTTGATGTATTTAAAGACACATTTCTAGCATTAGAAAGTGCAGCTGTAGGAYGTTATACCCTAAAAACATAGGAAAAAATTGTCTTCTCTTAGGACCACAACCAGAGGCCACAGATCTGCCAATCACAATCTGATTTGAAACTGTGGAATAAAGCTAAAAAGAGGTTATATCTAATGTATTTGGATAGCAATTGGCCAAAACTATAGTAATACTAATGCACYTCATCTGTACTCTCCTTGTAAATCCCTAGATACTAGTCCAATTCATTGTTAATATGTAACATTCATTCAAATTCACTAAAATAAAGTGAACAAAAAAACGATACTTCAAGTTCTCTATGAGAAAACTAGTAAATTGTCTGCCTTGTTGTCATTACATGTCGGGGGGGGGGGGGGGGGAGGGGAGACTCCCTAATAAAAAAGGGAGGGGTCCTCGTCGTCCCTTTTTAGGGTTTGAAATCGGTAATCCCCCGGGATTACCTGTATGATAGCTACGACAAATTATTAGTCAATTTTCTGTTAAAACAAGTTGCGCGGGGGACCTGGGGTTTTCTACTAAAGCGATGCAGAAGATCGTGCAAAAACCAAAATCTTTCTTACGAAAGTCATTTTCGTTGCGTCAAACATGTTGTCATCCTGGTTCCAGAGGTGTTTTCGTTAATCGTTTTTTTTTTTAACGGAACATCTCGTCGCTTAGCAAAGAATAAAAGACAAGCCTCTGTAACCAGGGTAACGCTTTGTCCGATTTCACATCTCGAGTTGGTTTTAACAGCGAGAATATAGTAGAGTTATTTGGACATCTGAAGTGAATTTTAAAAGAAGGAGAAATATGTAAAGATTGCGGCAACCTGATTATAACGAATAAATTGTTGATATTATAGATAGGGCAGGTGAAAGCTGCAATGTGGGCGACAAGTGATCAAGCTTTGTATAAGCTTTCTTTTTGTTTCCACCTGAAAAAGTACATATGTTTTTACTATATTTGAATGAATCAGCGAGTCTTGTAATGACATTTCCCAACTGATGAATGTTCTTGTGTGCGAACAATAATGTCATCACAATACAGACCTTTTAGAATTGCCCCCAATTTAAASTTGTATACCAAAGTTTTTATGACTCTAAAGCAGCCCCGTCATTCGCCAACACATTGCCAAGGCGGTTAGATGGTAATGCTCATCACTATCAAGCTGATTTTGGTCTCCTTCGTGCTACTAGGGACATGTCTTACAAACGGAAGCGTTGTCGTTTTGGTCCTCCGTTTTTACACTTTGAGAACGAAGCCAAACTTTATCCTTTTAAATTCTTGTATTGGAGATATCCTCGCTTGCTTTTGTAACCTTCCTGGATTCGTTTCTGGTTATGTTTTCCAGGATAAGATATTTTTCGTTGGACGAGCAAAATCCCTGGTTATATCCACTTTGCATGTCTATTTTACCCTTTTAAATCTCTGCGCCTTGACTGTTTTGATGACAGATCGATTTTGTGCATTGAAGTGGAGCATTTCATACAGAGTCTGGAGAACCAAATCAAAAATGAAGTACATTTTGGCTGCTAAATGGTTAGGCTGTTTAGGAATCTCATTGCTGCTGATTTTGCCTATTTGGGACATCGATTTAGGGGAAACACCGGTGTTCATTTATCGTCGGAAACACTTCAGAGTTCGAGGTAAGTATTTCATAGTTATGAAATCAAGCCTTTGTCACAACCCTAGATAAATTTAGTAGTCAATCAACTGCATMAATAAAAACCTAAGTTGAAACGGGGTACAACCATTCCAACGTTTGCCGCAAGAATCAATTTTTCACCGAAAAGCGGTAAATTCTAAAACCTTGCTAAATTGACCGAATGGCCTGTATTTCTTTATTACAAAGGCTTTCCGTTTCAATTCTTAGGTAAACATCATTTCCCTTCATTYCRGATGATTATACTTTTCTTTCRATTTTCCTGTCCACCGTCTAACCTACGCACCCGATGACGAGTCTCCTCCTAAATTACGATAATTGTTTGAAGATGGCGCGGTAATCGGACTCTATTGTTCTTTCGCGGGGCGTATTTTTTTTTGTTTTTTCTTTGGATTAACACAAAGTTTGATTAAACAAACTGTTGTCCCGTCATCCAATAATTTGTTTGACTTTATATTGATTTGGCAAAGAAAGGGGAGCTAGGGAAAACCATGGAAACCACCACTCTGTACACGCCCCTGGAATTCCATGCAGTACTGCTTAATATTCAGTCTTTTATGTCTTAATTTGATTACTTTCCATTCACAGGGAAATATATCGCTTTTACTATGTTCCCTCTGTTTATCATCAACAATATCATACTTGCAACCTTAATATGCAATACTATCAAGAAGAAGAGCTTGGTAAGAAATTTAATTCTAAGTCGACGACAGATCCTAAGTTCACATTATATTAGTGCAGGATTTCAGTAATCCTTAACGTTAGCTTGCAGATATACTGATGCAATGTGATTTTTATTTGTGAATCCAGATAAACACAAACAATTTCCAAGCAACATTATCAGAAAGATCAAGAGAACTGCGCAGAAGAAACGACATCAGAGCAATGAAGACGATAGGCATCACAGTGCTGGTGTATTTCCTSTGTTACCTACCGGCTGTTGCATACTCTTCCATGGAAAAACCGCATTGGGACTTGACTGATTGGTTTGGTTTCRTTTCTCTATTGACGATGTACATCCCTGGCTTTCTGAACCCCATCATCTTTGCTCTCAGAACGAAGCGCTTTCGACGTGCTCTTCGCCTTCTGATCCAGGACCCAATTGGTCAAAGCGAGTTGAATTAATAAGCGATTTTTTTAATCGTMTTCTTTTGTATATCGACAAGCACTTTCTTTTACGGTCAAAAGAAAAATCGCTTRATTGATGCATGCAGACGACGCCCAAAGCACTCTAGAGTTCTATTCCCTCAATCCCAAACTAAAGCAAGTTGAAATTTACATGATTTGATTTTATTMCATTGTTAAAAATTT